GTAAGAAATTGTTTTGATTAATAGTAAAAACGTTCATTTAAACTCCAAAAAGAGATGCTCCTGCCTTCCATCACACTTCCTGCACTGCAAAAACAGAGGGCTCAGAATGAGTCAACAGTGGGCAAGCACTCCTGATGTTTTCTGCCAGTTTAGAGGTTGCAAAATACAGACTGGGTATTGCTGAAACTAGTCTTACCTCAGACACAAAAGGAGAAAGGACACTACACATCTGAGTATTTTTTAGTTGCTGGATAGGCCAGCTTATCCTGGTGCAATGCAAGCTCTGAAAGAGCAGCTTCATGCACGTATTCATACCAGCTTAAAGACAGCTATTTGTTCTAAAAACAGTATGGCAGCTAGAAAATAAAAGTGTCTTTTGCAAGCAGAAGTCACACAGATGAGAAAAACAGAGAAGGATCTGTGATTTCTTCAAGTTTTTACCAAGTCTCAACATGAACTTGAAAACCTGAGTGTAGACAGCACTAATTACATTAACTCAGTAACAGCAATTCTGAAGCCAACAGGTGACACTCGTGGCTTGCAGTGCACCAAACATATTCACCTTGCTGTAAGGAAATGCAGTCTAATTACAAAAAATATTTCCATTTATTCCTATCCAAGTTTGGTAGTATATTCTTCATAGGTTTAAAAAAGAAAGGTAAGTTGTCTCACAAGACCAAGTACACAGTCATCTGTAACCAGACATCAAGAAATTGGTCCAACATACCTGTTATCTGCCATCTGTGTGCCTGTATCCACCTGTAAATCGAAATACAGAGTTCAGAAATTATTTAATAGAACCCTTTTTCTTATTTACCTCAACATAGAAGGTAAGAATTACAACAGGGCAATGTTTAAGACCTCAAGATAGATCAGCTCCTGCTAGTTCTGCTAGGAAAGTCATCATACATGAACTCGTGCAGTGAACAGCTTCCATAATATCCAATCTAAATGATTTGGTTTTTTAAACAATACATCAAGTGCTTTCATCCCACCCTTTCAAACATTTTTTTTTTATTCTGTTAAATATGAACTGGAAGAAACATTACAAATGGGAATAACTCTAAAAACAGATGGCACAGTTTCCTGAGCTGCTCTGCATTCTTTTTTAAAAATAAAAACCCAAAAAGGAAGAAATGAGCATATTATTTTCTAATTCCTTGACAGTATCACAGCAAGTAATGAATTTTTTATCTGTGTTAGAATGTTTGATCTGAAAATGATGAAAGTTCAAATGAACTACAGCATCAGAAAGACTTTTTTCTCATGTCACTTGAGCAGAAAAATGTCTGTCTAATCAAAACTATTTGTGCATAGTTGCTTCTGCTGTGATATACAGAATGACAACATTAAGTAAGGAGAAGCAAAATACTGAAGAAGTTATTTACACATAAGAGTGTTTTGGTGGTTTTTTTTGACAGTAGTTAGAAAGGAAAAAAATCCCCTACTTCAGGATTTGCCTTGAATGCACATGAGAAAACAAAAAACCACCATGGAAATTGACACCTTGGTATTTGCAGAGGCTGAAATCAAGTTTAACACAGCTACCCCAAGATCCAAATGAGCCCTGCTGAGACACCAGGGCCACACTACCTAAATTATTTTGCTGGTATATATGTTTTTTTTTTTTTTACCAGGCTGTCATACACTGCAGGAGATCTACTTCTGGTTTACACCTCTCCCTGTTCCTTCCCTCCTCCCCACCTCCCTTTCTCCAATTCTAAGCATAGTTTGTTACAAATCCCAGTAATCACTACAGTCTGTACAGCTGATTTTACACTATCAAGTTTTCAAGAAAACAGATGAGGGTCAGGTTTAACAATAAAAAGAATTTTTCATTGTTCTTAGGAGTAAATTTACCTCTTAGGAGGTCTGATTTCTTGTCTATATGCCCAAGCAGGCTGATCTTTAGCCAAGCTTCTAAAAGACTGCTACACCACAGGAGAACACAAGTGCTAATGGCATTGGAGCAGCAGTTAGGAGGACTTGAGAATGCACACTCCTCCACCTGGAAAATGCTAAGTCCTGCTTTAGATGAGAAAAGTAACACTTTCACAAGCACTTATATTGAATTGAAAAGTATATACTCTGTAGATTATAAGTATTCTTTTGACTACTCCATAAAGAAGCTGCCTAATATACGTACCAAAAATTCCCCTGTCCATATCCCATAGATTAAGACCAGGAACAGACAAAGGGCCTTTCTCTCCTTAACTAGGTCTGAGTCAGCAACCCACACACGTGTTTTGGCAACACCTATTCTTGCCCTAAACATAACAAGAGAAAGTGACAACACAAGCAATCATCTTGTGGAGCAAAGTGAAAGAACTCAGCTATCTTACAGCTGAAGAAATAAAGGAGCACACATGAATCTTTCCTTCCACAGCATACAGAAGGCAGGAAAAAAAAAAAAAAAAGATTAAAAAGTTAAGAGAGCAAATTGACCTAATACCAGAGTTCAGCCAACAAGATACATGATCCTGGTCACTATTAGAGGCAGCAATAGTAAGCAACTAAAAATGCAGACTCACATTACTTAGAAATTAGCCTTAAAGACTCTTCTCTTCCAACCCAGGACCAGTCACAGGCCCAATGGAAAAAAATAATTCCACGCACAAATGTTCTCCTCTGTTATTTGTGCTGTTTTTCTTGCAAGGAAAAATTTCTCATCCCTGATGAGGAAAAACAGAATTCTCACTCCTTCATCATTCATGTTTGGAAGACGTGGGATGAAGGTTCTGCAATACACATAACTTTTACATTGCAGTTGACTTAAACTCCATTGGAAGACATCAATTAGGCACATTCTGACAAAGGCCACTCACATAAGTAACAAAAAATGAAAATTGATAAGACACCATTTGCTGATACAAATACATACTTTAAGTCCGGTCTGCCTCTTCAAAGCTTTTTTTTCAGTCCTGAAAAACAAACAAACAAAAAAGTATATGAATAAAAAATTAAAAGCTTTCCCCAAACAGCTTGTAATTCCCAGTAGCATTACAGCTGCCCACCAATGACTTAGCAGCTGCAGAATTTCTAATAGAACTGTTCAGTAAGAGTTGGCAGGAGCAGGGAAGGACAAAGCAAGGTGATTTCAGATAAAACATGAGATGCACATCCCACTGAAAAAGCACAGAGCCTTCACTTTTTTTCCCCCCAATCACAGTGTGTAAACAATGAAGAAAAAAATAATAGCACTACTGAACTCTTAAAAAAGAACATTGTATTATTGTAACCATTATCACCACCAATTAGAGGCCAAATCCATACTTCTGGACAGAGAACCATTTTCAAATAACTAACACAGATGCAGAGCTTAGGGGAAGGAGGAGCCTACAGCAACCACCTGTCTCACAACAGACGCTGCTGCAATTTGTCTACAACAAATGTCACACAGCACCAGTCACCTAAAAGAGCAGGAAACAGTCATACACAAGATACATCTCCAACAGTCTAAGATAGTGAAAGTTCATCTTAAGGACAAGTGACACCTCGAAGAAGGCAGCTTTAATGGCAAGAGACCCTGAAAACATACAGAGAATAAATTTTCTCCACTAAGAGGCCTACGTCTCATTGCAAAAGCCATTCTAAGCACAGCTAGAACATAAAGCAAGGAACTAATGGGCTCCTGAACTTACAGGAAGCTTTCCACCCACAAACATTACTGCTTTTGTATCTACAACAAATCAGAAGGGAAAGCTATGACTTCCGTTTAAGACCTGCTGGGAAGCAGCTCTGCATGCAGCCGCAAACATAATGCTCTGAGGCTTCTAAATGAGAAGGAACCATGAAAAAAAAATCACTTGCTGACCAGATCCATGAGCCCTGAACATTAGCAGTACTCCAGCTCACCCTGAAAGTCGTATGAGGGAATATTATTTTAAAGATGACTTAAAAAAAAACACATATTTCCTAGGGGCTTTGATTTCACTGCAGAATTTACATACTTGCTTCTCTACCTTCCTACCTGTAGAGATAAGTTACAGAACGTAACAGACAAATCCGACCTATGACGTTATTGCATGTGGTAAACACCCGCTGGAGCAGCAAAAAGGTGAAACGTGGACAACAGGGGCCTTCAAAGGGCAAAGCAAACCCCCAGAGCAGGCTGAGCAGGCAGCAGATCACGGCCGAGGTCAAACGGCAGAGCCGCGCCCGACCGAAGCGCCGCAGGCTCTGATTGGAGCCGAGCGCTGCGGGCCGAGAGCCGCAACAGCCGCTTGCGAGGCGCACGGCCTCTCGCCTGCTTCCTCCCCCACTCCCCGGGGAGGGCGGGGGAAGGCCGGGCCCGCCGCCAGGCAACGCGGAGCGGACGAGCGCGGTCATCTTCGCGGCCACGGCTGCCGCAACCCTCGCGGCGACCCCGACCCTCGCCGCAAACTTCCCCAGGCAGCCTTAAAATGGTGCCTGAGCGGCCCGGGCCCGCCCCTCCCTGCCAGGCGGCCGCCACCGCCGCCCGAGCCCCACCCCGCGGCGGGCCCTAACGGCCACCCCACGCGCAGCCCGCCCCCGCGCCGTGCTCACGACGGCCGGCTCGCGCCCGCCGGCCGGCCGCCCGAATGCCGGAGCCGCGCGCGCCTCCTCACCTGCTCGCGCCGCGTCCCCCCCCCCAACAGCACCGGACTCCTCTGAAGCTCACTCGGGCTGCACCGCCGCCAAGAAAGCCGCCTCTCATTGGCCAAAGCGTGGGAGCCTCCCTCAGTAAAATCGCCGCCGATTGGAGCTGGCGACGGCACGGCCGCCGCACCGCACGCGGGACATGTTGACTATCCGACGGAGCGGCGCTCGGCCAATCAGCGGGAAGGCGCGGAGGCGGAGGGGGGGAGGGCGGCGCGCGCTGGCAGAGGCGTGCGCGGGGCTGGCGGCGCGCGGGGCGAGCGCGTGATGGCGGAGGGGGAGGGGGGGTCGCGGTTGTAACCTTAAAGCGGCAGCGAGCGCGTGCGGAGGAGGAGGGGGGGGGGGACAAGATGGCGGCGGGCGTCGCTTGCGGGCCGGCGGGAAAAGGCCCTCCGCGGGGTCCTGCTCTTGAAGGAGGGCCTGGTGCGCCGCTCCCGCGTCCTCTCAGCGCCTCGGGCTGCGGTTGCAGAGTTCCATTATAAGTATTAGTAATGGGCTCATGGTGTAAAAACCTCTCTGCGTGTTATCAGATTTTGGAGTTAGAAGTTAGGTGAATCAAAACGCGGAGTGCTTTGTAATAATTAAGTTTAGTATGTCTTGGTAAAAATGAATTTGATCTCTTTGGGACTGATAATTAAACCTTGAAGCAGGCCGGAGTGCTAGAAGTCTTTCGTGTGTTTGTACATCACCTTCCATCAGGGCCGCAAAGCATCCATCTCCTGTGAGCAGGGGTTTGTGCTGACTGCTGTGCCTTGGTGGTAGGCACTAAGAAGACTGTGGGTGAGGCACAATCTGTGGAGTCATCTTGCTGTCTGTCAGGTGCTCCTGCCCTGCAGAGAGCTGCAAAAAGATATTTGCTGAATCACCCTGGCTTGATTTAACATGCAGTCTAGCATAAGGATAGCTTGGAGAACCTATGCTGAGCACTACAATGTCAGCCTCTCCTGCCCTTGGGTGGGAATTAATGGAAACTGCTTTTGCTTAGTGACATTCACAACCCAATTGGAGAGATAAGGCTAAGTTTGTCAACCATTTTTTTAGGAAGAGCTTTGATCGCTGTCAAGTGAAGCCTTAATAATAGCTAATGTGCTTCTTAATTAATTTGTCTCAAGGGATGAGTACTATGCATGTGGTACTGGGATCCTGCATAGAAACTGCCCTGTGAAATCACCAAGAGGAGTAAAAATTCCTCTCCGCATCTGTGTAGTAGGAATTTCTCAATCAAAGTAAGAAATGAAGTTGGTCTGAAGCCACCCTGAGATGTGTAAGTATAGCTTAAAATGTACGGAAAGAATCTGAAGGGATACATGCAGCAGAGATTTCCTTATTCACATGGTGATTTCCTGGAGCAGTGAAAAGCAAATACAAACATTAGGATAAAAAGATCAAAGAGAGAAACTTAAATGTAATTAAGTTACACTTAAGGCACTCGTTAAAGTCTTGGTAAGACCATTGGTAACCAAACTAGATAGAAAAGTCAATGAATTGTTCCACCAGTATCTGAACAAACTGAGTGATGGAAAAACTTGTTCCTCTTAGTGCAGCAGTATTCACATTTGGCATTGATGTAAATATTCAAGATAGAAAGGCCAAAAAGCATATTGTGAGCAAAAGACAGAAACAAAATTTCCTGCTGCCAAGCTTGGCCTTTTGCCAAGAGTGCAATTAAAAACACCACCTTGCCTTGCCATCTCCGAATAAATTCTTTGACGTGTAGGGAATACAAAGCTCCACACTGTGCAGACCAACATGAGCTGTATGTTCTAGAAAGTGCTTTTAAAAAAAAAATAATAATCCAAAACTTTGCTATTGGGATTTTTGTTTTCCCAGCACTTAGGAAAGAATATGCCGTATTGCTTCACCAAGTGTGTGGGTAGGCATACATGTACGCTTTAAAATAAAAAACCAAAATACCATGGAATCTGTCCTTTCCCTTTTCTTGGCTGAGACAGGTGACCAGGACAATGAATGCAGACTATTCTGTTGCATTCTCCTGGTTGCCAAGTCACCCTCGCTAAGGAACTGCAATGGAATTTGCTTAAGTGACACCTTGATAGATTGCCAGGGAAAAGGAATTGTGCTGTGCGTTTTAGCGATTGCGTGGATCAATCTGCACACCTATGCTGAAAAGGTTGTCTTAATGGGCACATATCTTAGCCTGGAGGATTCTTTGTTTGCTAACAAGCTTTCCTTCGGCTTGCTGTTATTTTTCTCTATATTGTGGCTGCAGAGATAAAGTAACTGATATGGAATTTGATTTTTTGGTTGCAAATTCTTAAGTCTGTTTTTCTGACTCCTAGCCAAGGTCGTTGTGTTTATTATCTTGCTGCTTTTGGAGAAAGGAACTCTGTATTTGTGCAAAGCTCTCATTTTCTTTGGAGAGAATGAAGTCATCTCCTGTTTGTGTAGTAAGATAAAATATTTTAGCAGCTTCTTTACAGAACAAGTTGCCAATTTGTGTGATTTTTTTTTTCTTGAAAAACAGAAAATCTCTATGAAGCAGATATTTTCCTTGCTGATAATGCTGACTTTCCAAGGGCAGCTGAAACATAGAAGAAAGAGAAAAAATCCTAAATGGACCAAAGATTTGTGTATGGGAAGAAGAGTTTGAGTATTTGAAGATCTTGAGGGCTTTACTGAAAAGAAAAAGGCAATTTTGAAAAGAACTAGATGGCAAAGTACTACACAAAGCAGGGAGGGCAAGCAGCTATGTGGAAGAACAAGCAAACTGAAGGTGAAGGAAACTGAAGGTGAGCCCAAAGAGGAGAGGATTTCAAAGTCTCTGATTCTTGTAATATGTGTGAGAAGAATCCCATTGATTTTAAGAGACTTGATTTTGTACAGAGATGATTCCAAGACAGGAATGCTGTTTCTACTGTGCCAGAAAATATGGATGACTTCAGCAGCACTGATATTTCAGATAAACTGAGGGGACTGGAAAGAATCTTTAAGACAACAATCAAAAATCAAACAAAACACAAGAAACACATAAGCTAAATACTGTTACAGTCAGAGTAAAATCTTAATGAGGCAATAAATGCAGCAGAGACCCTTATTTGAGCTGTGGGGACATGAGTAACTGTGGATTAAAAAAATCCAGGAAGGAAGCACTGCGTGTGTGTGGGAAGAAAGAAAACAGAATTTTCAGAAAATACTAAGTCTGAGGTACTCCTAAGTACTCCTAAGTGCAAGGAGGTGACCCAGAAACAAAGTGAAGCAACTGTGAAGGAAAAACAGCATTTAAAATGAATTCTTCTACATTGATGTAGTAGATGAATCATGGAATTGGATAAGATCCTACTATGAACACAGCAGGTGGAGAAAAAAACAGTGAGGGTGGAGGCTGGGATGGTAATAGAGACATCTTAAGAGAGTTAGAGTCCATGGCAGCAATGGATTAATTAATTTCCTCTGTGGTCATGTGCTAGGTAGCTTTGATTGTGCTTCTGATGAGCAAGTGCTAACTCCAATCACCAGAAAGGAATCTCTGTAAGCAAATTACTGCTACCATTTCACACTGAGTAGCAACATTTCCTGCATTCAGGAAGGCAGCAAAGTGTTCACTGTGGTTTGAGATGATTCAGGGTTAACGCTCCTACTCTAGTTTACAGAAGTAGCCCTGGAATCTGTCTAGGGCCATAAGGAGCTTGAAATCAGAGAAACCTGTACAGCCAAACAGCAGCATCTTGTGCCTGCAAGCCCAGGCACAATCCATCTCTTTATGGATATCCTCAGTGCACAGGCACAGGGAGGAAGACAAGGTAGTGCACAAACCAGATCTTACCTTACAAAAATACAGCGGAGCTTGACAAGAAAGGGCCTGAAAATATCGAAGGGTTTAAAATGGTGTAAAATTCAACTGATCCTCTTTTGTTCACAGAATGAAAGAATGGAGAAATTGCCCTTGTGGCTCTGGCTGGCCTTTTAAATGACCACTTTAACCATGCATTTATACAATTAATTTGGAATTAGCAGAATACTGAATGCAAAATGTTTTTTTAATTAACTTAGTAACATCACGCTAAAGGAGAACATCTGTGAACCATATTTTAAGGAGATGGCTATTAAATAAAGATAAGCTGTGTTTGTTTTTTTCCCCACTAAACAATGGTCACATACCACTTGTACTTTATAACAGATTTTATTTTCTGTGTACAAGATTCCTGTGCTTTACTGAATTCAACATTAGGTATGTTTTCAAAGGCAAATACAGATAAACCAGAAAAAAAACCAACAAAACTATTAGGCCTTTTTGTTAGTCCAAATATGCTCATCTTGATATCTCAGAAGGTATATATTAAGATAAAGCAAGTATATTTATAACTTTTAATTGAGAAAAGGGACATAGCCTAGTGCTGTGTCCAATGCAGGTATATTTGCCTTGTACTTACCCACTTGTCTGCAATTGCAGGTTAAACAAAGATGATGATCTGTTCCCTTTTGCAACAAAGAGACTGTTAGCTTCTACTGTGCAAAGTGTTCTGGGTATACCTATCTATTATGAAGGTTTTTAATAACAGCAGCTGAAGTATCATAGTGGAAACTACCCAGTTTTTCCTGCTTATGTAAACTCACTAAAATCATCTGGAAAATACTTTCTTAGCGTGGGACAAATTGCTCAGCTTCCATTTAGTAGTAAGTTTTGCTGACTGTGACATATTTGAGAACATAAGCTACAAGTGGGTATTAGAGATAGGTTTGCAGGACAAATTAACCAAACTCTGGACACCCATAATAAGCAAGAATCCCCATGTGGATTTGCTGACTGAGCAGCACCTTCTCAAACAGGGCTGGCATCTGTTTAACCTGTTGCTACTGTTGTGAGGAAACTTCTTAGAGGATTTTTCTGTTTTTTTTTTAATGAATGGATATTTATTGGCTTTCCAGATGACATTGCTAGTCCTCATAAACAGGATGTTTACTTTGCACATAATAGAAAGTGTAAACAGAAATACGAGCATCAGTATATGCTCACTTCTTCAATGGTGATCCAACTCCTGCCTTCTAAAACAAAGTCCCGTTGTTGTCAATTTGCACTTCCATTCTGCACCATTTGTAGATATTCCTTGTATAGTTTTTCTTGGGTCTCATAAAGTTTCTTTAGCTTCTTAATTTGTCCTTTGCTGAGTTCTTTGCCTTCTGTATCATGCGTGGGAAATCCCTAAAATATTAAAAAAAAAAAAAAAAAAGAATATTTTGGATAAATTTTGGACTGCTTTTGTTCCTTAGAGAATTCTGTTCTCTTTTTGTCTGGCGTAGGAGGATAATGTCAATTAATGACAAACTGTCAGAATGAGGTGCATTTTGGTTAATTTAGTCTACTTGTGTATGTTCCCTTTCAAGTTAATGAAGGGACAGAGGATGATGTTTGTTTTCTGGTCTCTACTAAGTAAGGGAAGCATAAACTAATTTCTAGATGTTTATAGTTAAGAGAATAATAGCTAATCTATAAACAGATGGTTAAAAGACCACTTTTAATGATACTAGCATATCAATCCCAAGGCTTAAAGCAAAAGTCCTTAGAGTTTTTTGTACTTGATGGAGAAAATGCATTCAGTTTTTACAAATCTTCTGCCAGGCTTATGTGCATATTTTCCTGTGCTTTCATTCTTTATTCTTACTTATCCCGAGGGCCTGAGTTTGAATGGGTGAAAAGGACAGGCAGAAATAGGATCAAACACTGAAGAAACAGTGCTTTGTTTTCCAAATAATGGCTTTTATTCTCACAGGAGCAACCAGAGCCAAGTTACCAGTACAGCTCCTTATCACAGGATGGAGGAGGGGAGCAGAATAGTGTCTGTTTCCATCAGTTGGGATGGATGGTGAGTTTGTACCAGTGTAGTCCTTGCCTCGAAACAAGGTGAGAGATCTGTAAACTAATGCATGTTCCTAGGCACCGATCTGCAGAGTGTTGCTTTGTAATGGAAGGGCCAAAGGGGACCCACGTGCAATGAAAAAACCCATGAGATGATTAACAGTTTGACAGTATTGCTCCACAGTGCAAAGTATGTGCAAGACAATTAATACATTGCTTTCTTTTTCTCCCCTTCCCTCCCTCTCCTACATTAATAACGCTGCCCTTGCGGTTTTGGAACAAGATCAGCTTTGTAGACATATAATCAAATATGTGTGGAGGGGGAAGGAAAACCACTCCGTGTTTAAAGATAAGTTTCTTACATTTTCATCAAACTTGGAATATTTGTCATGTTCCGATTTAAACATTTCATGGGGTGGAATCTTCATTTTTGCCAGTTTTGCTGCCTGTAATACAAAGCATGATTAACTGCATTAGCATCATAAATAATTACTGACAACCTATCTTTTAAAAAAGCCATTCCTGAACACGTGCAAATGGAAGAGTAGATCATAATTTGCAAATCAAAGAACATTTAATTCACAATTGTTCATTACGAGAAAAGCAACTTTCAGTGAAGAACAACTCAATAAATCTTAGCTGTGTTTGTCCAGGAAAATAAAGATAAGTTGATATCTTACATTTGCAGAGAACTGCTTTGTAAAATGGTTGTATTGCAGGAACCTGAAACAACTCTAAACATGCTCTAAAAACAACATCTGTTTTCTGCTTATTTGGTTCCTTAGTGTTTTAAGTGTAAACATAAAATAAATATTGCTATTTGTAAAGAATGTTTAGCAAGGATCTCCTGCAAAGGGAACCTTTATCAACAGTTTCCTGCTGGCAAGAAGATGTTTCTAAGCAGGTCACAGCAGGATCAGGATGCAAGTAATTGCACTGAAAATAAAAGCAACTTCTATTATTTGTGAATTAACACATCTCAGAAATTTTTCCAACTAATTTACACCAATGCAAGGGAATCAATTTTCCAAAAGAATGAAATGAGCTGCTTGGAATTTGTGGTCAATAAATGCTATTTGATTCTTATTTTTTTCTGACAGTGGTGCTCTTTAAAAGTTTACTTCCTCTTTTAACCAGAAATGTTTTTCCTGTACTGTCATCAGTACAGCAAACAATCTTTTCCTCTTACAAGTTCACCTATGCTGAACTCCTCACCTGAATTCTAAAACTTCAGAGCTATCAGTATTAAATGTGCTTTTACAAAATGCTACATCTCAGACACAGTTCAGGCACAGACAGCAGGGAGACACTTGAAAAAATGCCTGTTTTCATATATGCCAGTGACAATGGAAAGGGAAAAAGCATAAGCAAAACATTCTCTAACAGAAACGTAAGGTACTGCTTTGGTAATTAAGGAAGTAATACTGTCTACAGACTGAAATACGTGCTATAAGGTCTGAGAAATTTCTGCAGTCTTCACTCTTGTTTTCAAAGATGGCTGCTCTATCAAAGGAGCCATCAAGGAGATGAATATTCAAATATAAATTGCAAGCCATATTAATTTTGAGCAGGAAAACATAGAAAAGTAAAGAAATGGAGGCCCAGTTAAGGCTGGGCAGAAAGCCTATGTTCTAATACAGTCTTTCTTGCATGTAACTACTGCTGTTAGAAGTCTTCTTCAGAACCAGATTCTTTTAATCTGAACACTTACTTCCTGCTCTTGTTTTTTTCTGGCTGCTTCTTCTTTCTTCCTTTTTTTCTCTTCTTCAATCTGTGAAAGGCAGTGTTAATGAGTAAAAGGTAACTGCTTCATTTGGTTGATTTCTATAAAATCTGAGCCAGCTAGCTCCCCTGGATATCTAATTACAGACAGATCTGGCAGCATAACCTACAGCAAAACCACTGTGCCTTGTAATTAGGATTGTCTGGTGCTTCTCACTGTAGGACTTTGATTTCATTTGTTTTTAATCTCAGCTGAACTGGTTTTAACTGTTCAGAATGCATTTTGCATGTGAAGTGCATGCTTATGAAAAAATACCTAAAAAACCTGCAAAATAAACAGTCCTGCCATTTCACAGGGAAAACCATTTTGCAAATGACTTTTAAAAGACCACATTTCCTTGATATTTTAAGTTCTTGCATCAAACTGCTGTATCAATTAAAATTTACTCAGTGCATTTTGTTTCCATGTAGCAAATAAATACAGTCTGGTTCAATTGAACACGTCACCTTCAATTGTACAGATGAAAGAAGTCAGAATCAGTTTCTCATTGAAATGATTATTTCAGAGAGATAAGACAGCAGGAATGCAACATTCAACATCCCTTAATTATACTAAGATTTATAAACAAACAAAAACCAAAATTTAGATACATCCATGCAGAATTCTCTAGCAGCTGCTGTTTTAAGAATCCTTTTCTTGATTCTTGAACTATGATTTCAGTATCCATTTTAGTATATAATTTTCTATGTCACTAGGCTTACAAATTATCAGGAAATGTAAAGGTACGCATAGTTTATATATTACTTTAAATGTAAAAAAGATACAGAATGCTTTAAATAATAACCTTTTTCTTTTCTTCTCTTTCTCTCAGTAATGTGTCTTTATCCACTAGTTTAACCACGGTTGGAAGTCCTGAAGAAGCAAAAACAGATAAATGATTTTCCAATGCTTGAATAGTCAAAAATAAAAGTATTTACCCTGCAATAACTTTTTTTTCAAGCTGAATGCAATTACAACTGAATGACTACTTAAAAATGACTAAGCAATTAGATACTATAGAAACAACATTGTGCTGGACATTTTTATTCTATGTATATTCTAAAATGCATTCATACAATATATCTACACATTAGAAATCCGTTAAGCTACCCGTTTGCAGTACTTGAGTATGCTGGATTATTCTATGCTAGTACTGACAGCTTGTTTCCCCACATCTTCAGAAAACAACAAAGTAAGAGCAGCTATTACAAAGCTGCAAGACACTACATGGGGTACCTTCATGATCTTCAAATCGAACGCCAAGTTCAGGAAGGATGTCATCTCGAAGAGCATCGCTCAACTGCAGCACTTCAGTTACTGTGGAGTATGAAAAACACTTTTGCTGAAGTATGATTTGGTGGAAGTGCACATCTATCCTCATACATACTTATTTAACTGCAATTAGGCCAGAGAAGGGCCTTTTGTTTTAAAGCAAGGAGTGTTTTTAAGTAATTTCTCTCTTCTTTTAGCTACAGAAAGCACGTTTCTGCAAAGACTCTGAATTCATAAATTCCTTCCAAGATACCCCTATTAGTCCTGAAAATTGTCATGAGATTTTCAGTTCAGCACCATAAAAAAATTTTAAAAATGAATTTATACATCTGTGCTGTTAATTCCGTCTCACCACTTTTAGGATGAAAAAAAGTTGCACTTTTGGAATAGAATAGATTCATATAAGGAGGAATATGGAAATTTCTGAACTGGAGTGGACCTGCAGTTCATTAATTCTGCAACCCGACGCTGCACATTCTTTGCAGTGTATGTTTAACAATCCATGCAAAATACTTAGACTGTGTTATAACTCCAGTTATTTTTAATACCCACATGAAACGTATAGCATACTCATTAAATTCTATTGAGTTCTGATTTCTTATCTTTTATGTCAATTTTTGGGTTAAGAAACACCATTTTCATGTTCCACATTTCACCAAATGCCCCTTCTGCCTTGTGTTAGAAGACAGAACCTTACTTCCACAACATTCATCACAACCGTATTTCCTTTTCAAACGAGTTTTCTCCTTATTTTCCTTATTCAAACTCATCAACATAATGTGTTTCCTCACTTCACAAGACAGGAAAGCTGTCTTCAGAGATAAAGTAGTGGAGTAGAGTTGGCAGCTCTTTGAGAACACCTTTCACAAAGCTCTCTGTTCCCTAGCACAAGAACTCAAGCAGAGGAGGCAGAAAACCAACATTGTTGAGCAAGGACCTGGTGATCAAACTGAGGGAAAAGGAAGAAAAAGAAAAAAAAAAAAGGGATTCATCCATACAGTCAATGGAAGCAGGGATGGGTGGTCTGGGAAGATATAGAGATGCCATCCAGATGTGCAAGGATGGGATCGGGGAAGCCAAGATGCAGACAGAACTAAACTTAATGAAGAATGTGAAAAATACCACGGGGTTCTGCAGGTACTTCGGCAAGAAGAGAAAGGCCAAGGAGAGTGTGTACTGTCTGATGGGAAGGGAGAACTGGCTTCAGTAGACATGGGGAAGGCTGAGACACTCAACAAGTTCTTTGCCTTGGTCTTTACAGGCAGTCAGGCTTCCCATGTCCCTCACATACCCAAACTTTTAGGCGGGGTTTGGGCAGAGGAGTCCCTTCTGCTGCAAGAACAGAGCGCGTCCAAGATTGCTTTGTGAGGCTGAATGTACAGAAGTAACATATAGAAGTCTATGGGGTCCAATGATGAGCATTCCAGGGTCCTGAAGGAACTGGCTGATGTGACTGCCAAGTCACTCTCCAACATGCTTGAAAAGTTGTGGCTGTCAGGAAAGTTCTCAATGATTTGGAAAAGGGAAACATCACTCCTATTTTTAAAAAAGGCAGAAACGAAGTCCCAGCGAACTACAGGCCAGTGAGCCTCACTTCTGTGCCTGGGAAGAACACACAGCAGCTCCTCCTGGAAGTTGTATGAAGGCACGTGCAGGACAAGAATGTCATCCAAGACAGCCAGCACGGCCTCACCAAGAGCAGATTGACCAACCCATCACACAGCGACAGCATCAGTGGACAAAGGGCAACTGATGTTATCTACCTGGACTTCTGCGAGGCCTTGCAAGTGATCTCACACCAAATCCTTATCTCTAAATTGAAGAGATACAGATATGAAGAGCAGACTATTCAATGGATAAATTAATTGGTTGGATGGTCTCAGCAGCTCTACTTTCAAGCGGAGGCCAATCATAAGCTGTGTCCCCCAGGGGCCTGTCTTGGGACTGATGCCCTTCAACATCTTTATCAACAACCTAGACAGTGTGAGTGACTACCTCGAGCAAGTTTGGTGATGACACTAAGCTGAGTGCTGCAGTTGATACAACAGAAGGAAGGGACGCTGTTCAGAGGGACCTGAACAGGCTTGAAAAGTGGACCCAGGTGAACCTAATGAGGTTCAACAAGGCCAGGTGCAGGGAGTTGTACTTGAGTCACAGCAACCCTAGGTATGTATACAATACTGCAGGAAGAACTTATTGAGAACAGCCACGCAGAGGAGAAGAGGAGGGATACCAACTTTTTACAAGGTTTTATAAAGCAGAGACAAGAAGGAAAAAGTTTTCAACTAAAAGAGGGGAGACTTAGATTAAATGTCAGCAAAATTTTTCAATCAGAGTGTGGTGAGGCACTGGCACAGGCTGCTCAGAGAAGCTGTGGACACCTCACCCCTGGAGGTGTTCAAGGCTGAGTTGGATGGAGCCCGGGTCAGCCTGATCTAGTGGGTGGCAATTCCACCCACAGCAGGAGAGGTGGAACTAGATGGTCTTTAAGGTGTCTTCCAACTCAAGCCATTCCATCATTCTTTGGTAATGTTTATGATAAGAAGTTGACTTATGATTAATGTACAGCATGTAGAAATGAATCAATAATATACACATATGAATTAGAAAAACAAAATGCAGGAAACAGAAAGCTGTTTCTGCAACAGAAGGCCAACATAAATACCAAGCAAATGAAGCTGTTTATCTTATCCTGCTGTTTAATATGTTTATTACATAAAAGCCTCTCAAATCACCAATTAGACAGCAGGATCCCCTGGGTATGCAACAAATAAACCCTGCAAAGTTTGCCATAAATCTCAGTCACATGACACATATGATGAAGGAAACAAATACAAAGCTGAGAAATAAAAGGAAGGCAGCTATCCTTTGTTGTAAAAGCCTGTTTTCATTAAGGATGAATAAATATGCTGACTTCACAGGGAAACTACTGTGATGGACTTCAAAGAATCAAAATAAAGATAACTCAGTTTGTTCACTTTAACTCTGCCATAAGAAAACCAGTCACTCAATCAGATGTACAGTAAGTACCTCTAAAATCTGTTCCTAAGGAGTTTAGTTACTACTGCAAAGGGCAACTTTGCAGGTAAGACTGACCATGTTAAGAGTTTTGGCTTGCAGATAAGGTGCATGCAAAACTGCAGAAGTTGGGCTAATGACAGTAAAAAGGACTACATGAGGCTCAGCTCCTTACCTGCTTACTTGCTCAAACACTTTGTAGAAATAACCCTCCTGATCTGGATAAACAAAAATCTCTACCCCCTAAAGACTGTCTCATGTCACAGCTGCACTTATCAGTAAACAGTGACCAAAGGCACTGAGAAAGGAACTGATTTATAAGTAACGTGACGAAGACAGGCAAGAAAGGGAGGAGAAAGAAAATCCAAGCCAATTCAGGAATGATGCCACAGTTCTTCCAGGTTATAATGGATGGGTGTAAGACACAGAGGACACACAACATGTCAATGGTTACTGCAGGATTTCCGGTAAGAAGGGCTAGGAAACCTCTTCTAAAAAAACTCACAAATGAATGTAACCTCGGCTACATCTAACAGCGACTCCGAAAGACAATTATTTTATTGTTTTGATAACTATCCACGTAGTCATTAAGGCGACTGTAATCCAAACATCCTCTGGTTCTGCAGATAGCTATTTCCTCTCATGTTTCCTCTTATCACCTGTTTTGACCTGGTTTGGTGTTGTTTTTTTTTTTGGTTTTTTTTTTTAAGCAAACCAGTTGCAGCAGAACAGAGAGCTTCAATTCAGGCTTCTGGATGGAGACCAGGACACTACGATTAACTCTTTTCTCTTCTTTTCTCTTCTTTTCAAGTTATTAAAGGGCCTTTAATAATTGTGAAGAACTGAAGATCTAGCTGAAGTAGTTGCTACTAAAAAGTCAAGTCTTCTGAGGAAAATATAGGTTAAGTGCAACATTTATTCATTGTATCAGCTGAGAAGCAGCAACATAGTTAGAAGGAACTGAAGTTGCTGTTGGGAATCCCATTCAGTTCTGTTTTATGATACACACTCTTGTATTCAAGAAGAAAGTTACAAATTAAGCAGATAGATTATAGTTAAGTGTTCTCCCTTCAAGCAACACTGAGACGGTTGAAGAAATAGCAAGGGTTCATTCCTGCAGTAAGAACTACCACCCACTAAAAGCTACAACCCACTCACTGGATTTTCACACTGCATATTTCAGTAGAATCTCCTGGCCTTTGCCTTTATCTCTTGCGTAGTTCTAAGTCTCAGATAGCTGAACATTGGACTGAGCACCACCTATTCCAATATCACAGAACAGCTGCCCTGCTACCCCCATTGCAGGGCAGCATTCTTTGCTGGGGAAATCAGCAGAGCGACTCTGTGGGGGGGAAAATATTGCATTTTATAGGAGCTGTTTAGTCTGCCATGAACTGAGTCATTAGTTTTCCTTATCAGGAGCAGTCACACACAGCGAACCACGTTCGTATTT